TGCTAAATTTTGAAGCGTGGTCTGCGTTATTCCACGCCACAACGCCAGAGGGCCAATCAGGAACTAGCTGTGGGTCTAGATACGGCCGAGGCGGTGAGGAAGAGGGGGCAAGTTTGTGCGACAACGGAGGGACATGAGGGCCAAAAAGAGCGGGGATCCAGGTGGAAAAAGGGTCCCAGCGTTCTCACCTTGCTCTGCAAGCTGCGCCATCTTCACCAGTCGTTTTCTACAATGGCGGTCAGACAAACAAAACAGGCCGGCAAGTGGATGTAGATTTGACCAATCAGAGGCCTCCTGTCTGCGGCACTGTCTGCGGTCACCTACAATTTGGGAGAGGTGCAGCAGAGTGTCTGAGGAGGGGGCGGGGACGTCTTTGTGTTCACTGCGACGCACGACGACCTACTTACGAAGTATCCAATCCAATCCAATCCACTTTATTTATATTGCACGGTTTAAATAAACACAAGGTTTCCAAAGTGCTGCACACTATACGAAGTATAAATCAGTATAAATCAGCCTTTAGAAACGACGCTGTCAAGGAACGCTATGGACAGCGGAAACATGCAAGAGGAGGAGAGTTTAATAAAGAAATGCTTTAAATCAGCTTTATTTCCACCAGGCACTTAATTAAAGCTATAAAAGACAGAAACATGCATTGATAATTTGGTATATTGAATACAACTGATGCTGTGAGAGAACGTCTGACTACACTGATGTCACAGCTTGGGATAGCTAGAGGCGCCGAGCATACTCCATTTTTATTACTTGGACGAGACACATAGAGCAAAGAAAGGATAATCTACCATCACACACAATAAAACCGCTCTAGACGCACTGCTTTCTATTTGAATTTTAAGGGAAGCGGCCGTTCCAACCATTGCATTTCCAAATTCTCCCGAGTGGTGCACGACTACACGACTGCACCACTGCACGACTACACGACTGCACGACTACACGACTGCACGACTACACGACTGCACGACTACACGACTACACGAGTACACGAGTGAATAAAGTGAATGTGATTGGTCGATTATCAAGGGGGCGGGATTGTTGTGGCTGAAGGTTCGCAAGCAGGTTTGGTTGTGGCCGGTTTGTTGGAAGCATCTTGCCAACCAGTTAGCATCTTAGTGCTAGCAGGTTCCTAATGGGAAATTCCATTGGGACCAAGTAGCACTAAATTGGTGACTTAGAAACGACGCTGTCAAGGAACGCTATGGACAGCGGAAACATGCAAGAGGAGGAGAGTTTAGTGTCGGAGGTCGTGGATGAGTCTCCTCCGTCATCCATTTTTTATTTAGAGGAGGAACGCGGGGAC